GCCAGCGACGACGGTGTGCTGAGGTGGGGCTCGGAGTCCAAGTCCGACAAGTCGTTCGAAGAATCTATGCCGGCGTGGGCGGCGCGACGACGAGTCCTCCGAGGTCCTTCTGGCTGGGCTGTCCTACGATCTCGCTGACGCGCGTGGTGGCGCCCCCGCCAGTTGCGTCGTCTCTCTTCAGTCGTGGCCTTCTTGCTCGACCCAGCGACGGGAGTCGTCTAAGCCTGGGCCTCGGGCGCCGGCGAGGGTCCAGCTGGGCGAGGCGCCTCGCCGCGACCGTCACCTACGCCGCCTGGCCGGGAAGAACTCTCCTGGGGGATATCTGCTTCGATATCGCCCGGAGGAGCTCCAAAATCCAAGGGTGCATCCAAGGGTGCTGGTTTCGAGGGCGGAGTGGAAAGAGGGGGGGCCGTCTCGCGGAAACGCATTGTAGTGCGCGCGATTGGCCGCTCGACAACCCTTTGCTCGCCGACCAAGGTGATCGGGGGGGCGCGCCCCCCCAGAAGTTTTCGTGTCGAAACCGACGAAGATCCCAAGTTTTGCATGCGAGTCAAGCTTGTCAGCGCGCTGGGGCATGCGCGCGAAGTGCAATGCTGTGCAACCCCATGGGAACATCTTGAGACGTGCTGTCGGGGTTTTCCAATGCCTGCGGGACCTGCTTCTCGGCGAAGCCCGGGACGACGCGTGGAGTATTGTTGAATATGTTGTTGGCATGCTGGAAGGCTTTGCCCCAGAGAGCTGTTGGCGCGGACGTTTGAGGAAGAATGGCCCGGGCGATTTCGAGCACGCTCTGGATGCGACGCCCGCAATGCCACTGGCCTGAGATCGACGCTCGCCCGTGTCTGTATGCATAATACCTGATTCACGTCACCATGTCTCGCATTTTCCTAAGAGTTCCGCGCCGAGGTCCGAGTGGAAACGCCGCAGACTACGCTGGTGGTTTGTGCATGTTATCACGGCGTCTCGGAGTGTAGGTGGCTCTGAGTTTGGGAGTCCGAGTGCGAATCCATGGCGCGGTTTCTTAATGACCATGGCAAGATCATGCCTGTTGCCGTTCAGGGAAACTGGCAATGGACCCGCCAAGTCTGCAGACATTTCCCTCCACCGCTCTTTTCAGAGATGAGCTGGGCGGGGCGTGCGCGGAGCTTGGCCCGCGCGCAGATATCGCCATCGACGTCGTTGTCGATGTGGCCCCGTCGAGTGCGATCCAAAATTTGCCCTTCTAGGATTGAAGATTTTTCGGAATGTGCGTGAGAAATCCATGCAATAATCGAGCTCGCTAGAAACTGGAGCGCCGTCTCCTCGAACGGCGGATCCAGCGTGCGCGTCGAAGCAATTGCTGGCCACTGGGCCGACGGATGGCGTCGCGGTTTCAGCTGGGCGAGGCTCTTCGCCGCAATTGTGGCCAAGATCGCCGGGCCATGGACGAACTGGGTGAGTCGACGGGTCGGTTCCAGTCGGGCGAGGCCCCTTCCCGCGACTGCCCCCTGGCCTTCCGGAAGGTGTTCTTCCTTTTCTTTCTCCTGCCCCTTCCTGTTCCTTCCCCTCCTCGTTGCAGATGCGCACTGGTGCTCGGCCAAGAGTGGCGGGGGGGCGCGTCGGGGAAGCTGAGTTCGAGGGGCTGGTTTAAGGGTGCCCACCCAAGTAGAACAAGTTCCCCTTGGCCAACTTATGGTGCTCCCCCGCTGGGCTCGCCAAAGTCGCTCCAACCTTCCCCTGCCTGTGCTTCCACCCGTTGTCCGTAAGTAGAGCTATGGATAAGAGGCAAGAGTTAGCTACTGCGCGCAGGAGACAATAATGTAGATGAGCGCCACAACAAACAACGTTTGCTTCCTCGGTGACGAGTGTTTCGCCATTAGCGGTCCCGAGCACGATTGGTTGCGCCGAAGGTCGCCGGTTTGTGCGCGCGGGATGTCGGCGTCGCGTAAAATATGCTTCTCGGCGCCCGAATCGGCGATCAGACGGATGACGTCGCGCGCGACCCCGTGCTCGGTGATGCTCATGGATTTTAACGTGAGACGGACCATTTGGCCGCTCGATATTTGCAGGAGGTTTTTGGTGCCTTTCTACTCTTCCTTTAAGTGTTCCATGTATTGTTCTGCTTGTGACGTGAGCGAATCCAGTGTGACTGCGGTTGTTGGTGGGGCGGGCGGTGCCCATCCGCCGCCCGAAAATTGACCTGCTTGGTTGGCTCCGATCCAACTCTGTTCTGTGACAGGTGCGAACTTGCCAGCTCTGATCCAGCTCCTTCTCCTTTCGTTGAAACTCGGCTGCGGCGCTGGCGTCCCCGGTGCGCCGCCCGAGCTGCTGGCTCCGATCCAGCTGGGATTGGCGTTGCCGAATCCTTTGCCGTTCCCCAATCAGAGCTTGCCTCTGTAGAGGCCCTAGCGGATTCATATGGTTTGGTGAGGTGGGGCGCCGATTTGGTGGCTGGTGGCCGGGTGCTTGGGTGCCCAGGTGCTCGTGGGCGCCCGCTGCCCCAGGATTTCGGTGGCCGGTGGCCTGATGCCCGGGTGCCCGGGTGCCCGTGGGTGCCTGGGTGCCCGGGTGCTCGGGGGTGCCCGGAGGTGCCCAGGGGTGCCCGGGTACTTTATATCCATGTAGCCCTATAGCCTTATAGCCGTATAGCCCGATCGCCCAATAACCCAATAGCCCATATAGCCCATTTGGCCTTATAGCCCAATAGCCCTATAATCCTACAGCCCTATAGCACTATAGTCCTATAGCCTCTAAACCTAATAACCCTATAGCACTATACCCCGATATAGCCCTATAGCCCCATGGCCCTATAGCCCTGTAGTCATATAGCCCCATAGCCCCAACAAAAACCTGAGTGTTTTTTTTCTCTGGCATCGTTGTCTTTGTGTTTGCCCTTGCCTCTGTTCGGGCATTCGTTTCCCCCGTGCCCCGGCGGGACGCGCAGTCTGCAGATGTCTTGCGGCAGCCGCTGTGTTGGTTGGCCCAGGGGGCCGCCTGATGTGCCAGGGGTGCGCGCGGGACCTTTTTGTTGTCGTGGGAGCAGCGGCGCCTGTCGCCCATGGAGCACCAGCCCCGCTCATGTAGAACGACCAGGGGACCCAGACCCCCTCGGGTCATGAAAAAATCACGACGGGAGGTTTTTCTTTATTTTCGGCCTCGGGAGGCCCTTACAGGCCCTCGGGGCCGTCAAAAAACGACTCAGGATGAAAAACCGGTCCCGGGGAATGGGTCGAGACCTCGGGGGTCAACGTAATGAAAAAATCCTGGCGTCGGGGGTCTGGGGATCCACGTGTCTTTCCCTTTGCCTTTCTTTCCGTCCTTTCCTTGGCCCTTCGTTTCTGTTGTAGCCGCGCCAGCTACAGACGCTATAGTCGGCGGTGGCGGGGTGTCGGTGGTCGGCGCGTCGTGCGGGAGTGCCCCTTTCGCCCGCCTTCCGCTCAGCCATCTCACGGATGGCGTGGACATCGTTCGGGTGCGTGTGCGACGCCGTTTCCAGTGTCACTTGGAGTGGTTGGAGCTTGCCGATCAGCCTCCGCAGTGAACGAAGAGAAGTTTGCTGTGGCGGTGCAGCACCCACGGCCCGCAGTTCGTCGTGGTCGCTTTTCCACACCCGAGGCGCGCGTTGCAGTCTGGTTTTGTCGGTGACCGGCTCTGGGTCAGTGAACTTGTCGTTCAAGGCGGGCGCGTGCGTTGCACTGGATTTCAGGACGGCTCCGGCAAGAGCCGCCAACATTGATATGCCATCGGTGCGGTCTTCTTCGATGCAAAGGCATAGATCCTCGTCCGCGAGCCTGCAGAGTTCGAAGGCTAACGCCTCGTTGGCTTCGGTGTAAGCCGGGTTGTTGTGCACCGGTGACGTGTCCAGGTCTGGGTCGCTGAGGACCAGGTGTACCGCATCAGCAAAGCCTGCGCTCTGGAGGCCGTGCCAGCTGGCGAGCTTGGTGTTTACCCACGTGCGCCACGACTTGACCGACGGAAGGGTCCGGGGACCTTTTTAGGCAGGTCGTGCAACGGCCGCCTGGAACTGCTGCCGTCCCCGCCGCCGCCGGACTGCATGGCCGCCAGCTCCCGCGCGACCTCTGACAGGCTCTCCCCAAGCTTGCACATGAGGAAAGCGTTCACGTCAGGTGGGGCGTTCGGTGCTGCTGTTATTGTTGGTTGTGGTGGTGTAGGTAACCCTGGGGGCCCGTCCTGGCGTCCAGTCGGGCGAGGCGCCTCGCCGAGACTGTCAGCCCAGAGAGTCTCAGGTACTGCTGGCCTTCCCACCTGTGCTGGCGTTTGTGGTGATGACCCACGTGTGAAGGGTGTTTTTTGGACTGCAGTGGACGGAACATCAGCCAACGGTCGATCCAGAGTTTCTTCTGCCAGATCGTCCTCATCGTCATCGGGGATCCGAAGAGATGCGAAATCCGCCATCTGACCGATCGCGTGCGCGGGCGAAGGCTAAGGGGAGTGCTTGGAGCGAAGAGCTCATAGCCTGAGGTTGGAGGGCCCCCCCTGGCGCGGCCTTTTCCTGGGGACTTGAGCCAAGGCCCAAACAGGGTGGCAGCATGGGGCCTGTCCCCGCACCTCCTCCTCCTCCTCCTCTTCCTCCTCCTCCTCCTCCTCCTCCTCCTCCTCCTTCTCCTCCTCGTCCTCCTTCTCCTCCTCCCTCCTCCCTCCTCCTTCTCCTCCTCGTCCTCCTCCTCCTCCCTCCTCCTTCTCCTTCTCCTCCTTCTGCTGCTCCTCCTCCTCCTGCTCCTCCTCCTGCTCCTCTGCCTGCTGCTTCTTCTCCTCCTCTCGTCCTCCGCCCCTCTCCTCCCTCCTCCTCCTCTCCTCCTCCTCCTCCTACTCCTCCTCCTCCCTCCTCCTCCTCTCCTTCCTCCTTCTTCTCCTCCTTCTCCTCCTCCTGCTCCTCCTCCTGCCCTCCTGTTGTTCTGCTGCTGCTGCTGCTGCTGCTGCTGCTGCTGCTGCTCCTCCTCCTCCTCCTCCTCCTCCTCCTCCTCCTCCTCCTCCTCCTCCTCCTCCTCTCTGCTCCCGAGGTGGGCCCCCACGACGCGGGCTTCTACCAGCTGCTCCGCGCGCTCGTGCTAGAGCTCTGCGGCCGCACCGCCAGGGCCGCGCACCTGTGCAGGCGCGCGTTTGGGCTTCGTCCCCCCTCCACTCCGGGAGGCAAAGGAAGAGGAGGAGGAGGCGGCGGAGACGGAGGAGGAGGAGGAGGAGGAGGAGGAGGAGGAGGAGGAGGAGGAGGAGGAGGAGGAGGAGGAGGAGGAGGTTGAGGAGGGTGTTTGATGATGCTGATGATGCTGATGACGATGACGATGACGATGACGCTGACGTTGATGCTGATGCTGATGCTGATGATGATGCTGGTGCTGCTGCTGATGCTGATGATGCTGATGATGCTGCTGATGATGATGATAGTGTTAATGGTGATGGTGCTGATGATGCTGCTGATTATGCTGCTGCTGACGATGACTATGCTGATGATGCTTCTGTAGATGATTATGATGATGATGCTGCTGATGATGATGATGATGATGCTGATTCTAATGCTGATGAGGATGCTGATGAGGATGATTAATTGTGTTGATGATCATGCTGCTGATGATTCTGAACATGATGATGATGCTGATGCTGATGATGCTGATGATTGTGATGTTGATGCTGATGATCATGCTGATGCTTGTAATGATGCTAATGCTGGTGATGATGGTGATAATGATGGTGATGCTGCTGATGATCACGATTCTGATATTTCTGAAGGTTGTGGTGGTGATGATGTTGCTGATGATACTGCTGATGATGCTGATGCTGATTCTGATGACGATGGTGGTGGTGGTGGTTGTGGTGATACAATAAATAATGGTGACGGTGGTGGCGATGGCGATAGTGATGTTGATGATCATGCTGATGCTGCTGATGATGCTGATGATGCTGTTGCTGCTGTTGTTGCTGCTGCTGATGACCATGCTGTCTGTAATGGTGATGGTGATGGTCATGGTGATGGTGATGGTGATGTTGATGATCATGCTGATGATGCTGATGCTGCGGTTGCTGCTGCTGCTGATGATGCTGATGATAATGATGATGATGGTGATGGTGGTGGTGATGATGAGGATGATTCTGATGATGATGACGATGATGATGCTGATAATGATGGTGATGGTGGTGGTGATGATGATGCTGATGACGACGATGCTGGTGATGCTGATGATGAGGATGATGATGATGATGGTGATGCTGCTGATGATGATGATGCTGATGACGATGATGCTGATGCTGATGATGCTGATGATGATGATGCTGATGATGATGAGGATGATGATGATGATGGTGATGATAATAATGATGATGATGATGATGATGATGATGATGATTTTGAGGATGATGATGATGATAATGATGATGATGATGATGATGATGATGATGATGATGATGGTGATGGTGATGGTGATGGTGATGTTGATGATGATGATGATGATGATGATGATGATGATGATGATGATGATGATGATGATGATGATGATGATGATGGCGAGGAGGAGGTGGGAGGCGGAGGAGGAGGAGGAGGAGGAGGAGGAGGAGGAGGAGGATGGCATTTGTGAAGCTGTTGCCAATTTCTATGCTTCAGGCTCATAAATGATAAAGACGTCTCAGGCGAACCGTCCGGCCCGCCCTCCCGACCGGCCTCGGGGTGCGACAGGGAGTATGTAGTCATTTACAAGGCAAAGAAATTGGGGAGGAGGAGGAGGTGGAGGAGGAGGAGGAGGAGGAGGAAGGGGAGGAGGAGGAGGAGGAGGTGGTGGAGGAGGGGGGGGAGGGGGAGGGTGATGGGAGAGGAGGGCGGGAGGTGGAGGATACGATGGTCGCAGATACTGGACAATGAGGGATGTGTGTGTGTGTGTCTTCTCCTGTCTCGCAGCTCGGCAAAACTGTCCAGCACCTGCGGCTTTGAGCACCGCGTGGGCAGTAGGGCTGCCAGAGCTTGAGCTTGAAAGGGGGAGGGGGAAGGGAGAGGATGGCAGGGAAGGGTGAGGGATGTGTGTGTGTGTGTGTGTGTGTGGTTGTGTGTGTGTGGTTGTGTGTGTGTGTGCGGGTTGCCGCTATGTTAGCGGAGCGTGTGGTTTGTTAGACGTGTGTCTCAGTGAAACCACCAAACCAGTGTATGCGCTCATCACTTGTTTGAATACTGAGCGTTTTGCTCGCAGGCAGTTTCTATGTTGGTTGTTGAGGGGGATGTGCTATGGCTGGATATTCGTGTTCGTGGTGGCTGTTAACGCGTCGCGTCGTACTCTTTGCAGCACTGGTTGCGAGATGAACCCTCGTTGTAAGTACTTCCCGCTCGCAACTTGGAGCTGAGGACTGCGTTGTCCATTCCAGACACCGACGCTGCCACCGCATTGCGTCACACTTTCAGGCTTGACCAACTCGAGGCGCGCGCGTGTTTTCCCCCGGCGTGCACTCTGGCGATTACGCACCATCGCTATTGCCATTGCTACTAAGCCTTTGCCACGCTGAGCTTAGAGGAACGTCACCGAGCGGAGAGGAGCGGACGCGATTCTGGAGGATACGAGTCGATAATCCTCGCGCGCTGCTCCTCCCGGCCTCTTCCCTCCCTCCCTTCCTCTTCTCCTCCCGTCCTCTCCCCCGTCGGCCCAGCGCCCCTCCTCATCCTCCGTACCCCTTCTTTTCATCATGGTCATCCTCCTCTTCCTGGCCTCTTCCTCCCCTCCCCCTGCCGCGCAGGTACATCGCCCGCACCGAGCTCATGGGCTCGCCCTCGCGGCGAGCCCCCCTCCCCCCCGCCCCGCGGGCCTCGGCCAGAAGAGGAGGGGGAGGCCGAGTTGTTGAGGCAGGAGGGCAGGAGGAGGAGGACGATGCCGAGACGGCTGGGGAGGAGGAGCGCGAGTGAGAGAGCGGTGGAGGAGGAGAAGGCCTGAGGAGGAGGAAGAGGAGGAGGAGGAGGAGGAGGAGGAGGAGGAGAAGGACGAGGAGGAAGAGAGAGCGGTGGAGGAGGAGAAGGAGAGGAGGAGGAGGAGGAGGAGGAGGAGGGAGGAGGACGAGGAGAAACTGAAGGAGGGCCCTCCGACCCAGAGGCCCGCAGCCCGCGGGCCCCGCGCGGCCCCGGGCGCAGCCCTGTGATCGGCCGCGCTCTTGACTCGTGGCGTCCTCGCCGGCCCGCGTGGGGAGAGCAACAAAAAAACAGCCCCCAGCCGTCCCCTCCCCCCTCCCCTTCCTTCCTCCTCCTCCTCCTCCTCCCTCCTCCTCCTCCTCCTCCTCCTCCTCCATCCTCCTCCGCCTCCTCCCCTCCTCCTCCTCCTCCTCCTCCCTCCTCCTCCCCTCCTCCTCCCTCCCCCGCCTCCTCCTCCTCCTCCCCCTCCTCCTCCTCCTCCTCCTCCTCCTCCTCCTCCCTCGTGCTCCCTCCTTCCCCTGCCCGTCCCCCTCCTCTTCCTATGGAGCAGGGGAGGAGGGAACGCCCGGCCGCCGCACAGGTACCGGGCGTTCTGCGCCCCCGTCGGCGCGGCGCGGTCCGGGTAGGGGGCTCGCCGGCGCCCGCGCCGCGGCGGGCCCGCGGCCGGGCCAGGGGGAGCAGCGGGAGGGGGGGGGGCAGGGGGAAGTGCAGGAGCGAAAGAAGGACGTACATGTACATGAATCCACGCTGGTGTCGAGAGAACGCATTGCACAAATGTTAGTATAACGCGGCCGGTCTCGCGGATCGAGGGGCCGTGTTCACGTACATAGCTGGGCGCGTACGTCCTTTGTGGGCTCCCAAGAAGTGCAGGCGGGAGGGGGGATTGCCGCTGCTCGTGCTGGAGGTCCTCGTGGCCGCGGCGGGATTCTCATCGGGGTCTGAGCAGAGCGCGCCCCAGGAGAAGATGGGGGGGGGAGTGGGGGGGGGGAGGAGTGGGGGGGGGTGCGGGGAGGAGGAGGGGGGAGACGAGGACGAGGAGAAGAACGGGCGAGGTGGATCACGAGGTTGAAGGGGAGGGGGGGGGGAGAAGGAGGAAGAGGGGAGGCTCACACGAGAAGGCGCAAGAGCACGAGGAGGATGCGGGGGGCCACAGTAGACGCAGGATGCATGGAAACGAGCGTTAGTCCCTGCAAGCTTTCCTCGTCGCCGCGGGAAGCGCTCGCCTCAACCACAGGCGAGCGGGCGAGACCCGAGACCCCGTGGGCGGTCCGTGTTTTGTAGCCGTGAGAACTGTCGCGGCGTGTGGACGTGTCCAGACTCTGGCAATGCATATTCTGAGGACAGCGTAGGCGAGAGCAACTGCGCCTCCCTCCATCCGTGTAGTCAGCTGGTGCACAGTTCGGAATTTCGGGTCGTAGCGATGGGGGAAGTCCCACTTTGAACATGAACCGTCCCCCATCCGCATAACGGGTGGACATTTCCAGGGCCAGTTTTCACGGCGTTGAGGCGAGAGCTCCGTTTTGCAACTGTCCTCGCCCTCAATCCGTGTGACCGCTGGACATGCTCAACCACGAATGTGCGCGGAGCCAGAGCGAGAGGTCGGTTTTGGAACCGGCCAGCACTCTACCCCTGTAGTTGTTGGGGTTCAAGCTTCAGGATCGTAAGCAGAGGGGAAGTCTCAAGCGAAACGCTGGGCTTGCCCTTTGCAAGGACATGGGACGGGCGGAGGAGGGAGAGGAGGAGGAGGAGGAGGAGGAGGAGGAGGAGGAGGACGAGGAGAGGGAACCCGAGGACGACGAGTGCGATAAAGGGGGATGAGGCTGCTGCTGATGACGATGATGATGATGATGCTGCTGCTGATGATGCTGATGACGATGCTGATGCTGATTCTGATGATGATAATGATGATGGATGATGGTGACGTTGGTGACGATGATGTTGCTAATGATGATGACGTTGCTGATCATGATGATGATGCTGATTATGAGGATGATGGTGATGATGATGAGTCTGATGCTGACGATGTTTATGATGATGATGATCAGGATGATGACGATGTTTATCATGCTGCTGCTGCTTCTGATGATGATGGTGGTGAGGAGAAGGAAGATAATCAGGATGATGAGGAAGGCAATGAGGTTGCTGTTGCTGATGATGAAGCTGCGGATGTTGGTTATGCTGATGATGATGCTGGTGATGATGATGAGGATGGTGCTGATGATGAGGATGGCGATTATGATGATGAAGATGATGCTACTGATGCTGATGATGACGCTGATGATGCTGATGATTAGGGTGACGATGATGCTGACGATGATGCTGATTATGATGATGATGATGCTGATGCTGATACTGATGATGATGCTGACGATTACGATGCTGATGATGATGATGACCATGCTGAGGATGATGCTGATGATGATGATGACGATGGTGATGATGATGATGCTGATGATGATGATGATGATTCTGATGATGGTGATGATGCAGATCATGATGGTGATGACGGTGTGGGTGCTGATTAGGATGGTTGTGGTGATGGTGATGATGAAGATGATGATGATGATGATGATGTCGTTGTTGTTGCTGCTGACGATGATGGTGATTTTGCTGTTGCTGCTGATGACGATGATTCTGATGAGGAGGAGGAGGCCGATGAGGAGGAGGATGATACTGAGGTTGTTGCTCCTGCTGCTGATGATGGTGATGATGATGACGATGATGATGCTGCTGATGATGATGACGAAGATGATGATGGTGATGATGGTGATGCTGCTGATGACGATGATGGTGATGATGATGAGGATGATGCTGATTCTGATGATGATGCTATGCTGGTCATGGTGATGATGCTGCTGATGATGACGATGATGCTGCTGATGATGATGGTGATGATGACGATGATCACGGTGCTGATGATGATACTGATGACGATGCTTATGATGATGATAATGATGGCGATGATGACGATGCTGCTGCTGATGATGATGATGCTGATGATAGTGATGCGGCTGCTGCTTCTGACGATGATGATGAGGAGGAGAACGATGAGGAGGAAGTGGACGATACTGAGGTTGCTGCTGCTGCTGACTGACGAAGCTGCTGCTGCCTCAAATGATGATGATAATGATGGCGATGCTGACGATGATGATGATGATGATGATGATGATGATGATGATGATGATGATGATGATGATGATGATGATGATGATGATGATGATGTTCATTCTGATGATGCTGCTGCTGATGATGATGGTGATGATGCTGGTGGTGCTGATGGTGATGATGGTGGTGAGGAGGAGGAGGAGGCGGAGGACGATGCGGAGGATATTGAGGATGAGCATTAGGTGGCTGCTGCTGCGAATGAAGCTGCTGCTGCTGATGATGATGACGATGATGATGATGATGAGGAGGGTGATGATGATGAGGAGGGTGATGATGCTGATGATGAGGCGTCTGGTGATGATTATGATGATGAGGATGACGATGATGATAGTAATGATGCTGCTGATGATGATGATGACGATGCTAATGATGATAATGATGATGATGCTGCTGAGGATGCTGATGATGATGACGATTCTGTTGATGGTGATGGTGTTGCTGATGATTATGGTGCTGTTCATGATGCTGGTAATGATGGTACTGATGACGGTGATGATGGTGATGGTGATGCTGGTAAGGATGCTGCTGTTTCTGGTAGTGATCATGACGATGATTATGAGGAGGAGGAGGATGAGTGTCATGAGCAGGATGAGGGTTATGATGAATGAGGCTGCAGTTGCTGATGACGCTTCTGCTGCGGTTGATAATGCTGTTGGCGGGTGATGTTGATGATGCTGATGATGATGGTGATGGTGATGATGATGATGGTGGTGATGGTGATGCTGATGCTGATGACGATGATGATGCTGATGACGATGTCAATGACGACGACGATGATGCTGACGACGGTGCTGATGCTACTGATGCTGATGACGATGATGATGCTGATGCTGATTCTGATGATACTGCAGTGTTTGTGATGCTGCTGATGATGGCGATGCTGATGATGATGATGATGATGGAGCTGGTGCTGCTGCTGCTGATGATGGTGATCATGATGATGCTGCTGATGGTGTATTTCCGCTGTTTCTGATGATGCTGATGCTGCTGAGGAGGACGACGATGAGGAGGATTAGGATGGCGGTGATGATGAGGCAACTGCTGCTGCTGCTGCTGCTGCTGATGAAGCTGCTGCTGCTGATGATGATGATGCCGATGTTAATGATGATTGTGATGATACTGCGGTTTTTGTGCTGCTGCTGATGATGGCGATGCAGATGATGATGATGATGATGATGATGATGATGATGACGATGATGATGATGATGATGATGATGATGATGATGATGATGATGATGATGATGATGATGTTGATGGAGCTGGTGCTGCTGCTGCTGATGATGGTGATCTTGACGATGCTGTTGTATTTCCGCGGTTTCTGATGATGCTGATGCTGCTGAGCAGGAGGAGGAGGAGGAGAATGAGGCGGATGCTGATGGCGATGAATATAAGGTAGTAGTTGCTGCTGCTGCTGATGAAGGTGCTGCGGCTGCTGATGATGATGATGTTGATGCTGATGATGCTGACGATGATGATGCACATGCTGATGCTGAATACGACGATGTCGATGCCAATAATGATGATGATGCTGATGGTGGTGATTGTGATGGCGATGGGTATGGTGATGGTGATGGTGGTGATGATTGTGCTGCTGCTGCTGCTGCTTCTGGAAGTGGCGATGAGGAGGAGGAGCATGAGTAGTTGGAGGAGGAGCAATCTGAGGACGCGGATGGGGATGATAATGAGATTGCTGCTGCTGATGAAGCTGCTGCTGCTGATGCCGATGTTGGTGGTGATGATGACGATGACGCTGATGATGGTGCTGACGATGACGTTGCTGATGCTGTTGATGGTGATGGTGAAGATGAAGATGCTGCTGATGATGATGCTGATGATGATGATGACGGTGACGATGCTTCTCATGATGATGATGGTGACGACGGTGATGCTGATGACGAGGGTGATGCTGATGGTGATGCAGATGATGACGATGACGATGCTGATCATGGTAATGATGAACATGATGCCGATGCTGTTGACACTGATGATGATTCTGCTGATGAGGATGATGAGGTTTATGATGGTGACGATGCTGTAGATGATGTTCATGCTGCTGATGATACTGATGTCGAGGTTGCTGCTGTTGCTTCTGATGATGATGATGATGATGATGATGATGATGCGGAGGAGAAGGATGATGAGGATGACGAGGAGGATTAGCTGATCATGTTTTTGCTGCTGCTGATGCTGATGCTGATTCGGCTATTGTTGATACTGCTGATGAAGAATCGGATTTTGATGATGCTGGCCATGATGATGATTATGATGATGCTTATGGTGCTGATTCTGCTGATGATGACCATTGTGGTGGTGGTGGTTTTGATGATGCTGATGCTGCTGCTGCTGATGCTGCTCATGATGATGCTGATTATGAGGATGCTGCTGATGTTGATGCTTATGCTGATGCTGCTGCTGATGATGATGATGCTGATGCTGATGCTGCTGCTGATGATGATGATGA